GGACCCAACAGTCGGGATGATTTCAAACAATCATCAACAAAACCAAAAACCCCAAACCCCAGTTGAACAAGTCGCCGAGGAGGCGACCGCGAACCCGTTCGCGAAGGGAGGTCTACCCAGATCTCCTGAACACAGAGAGCCGAACACACGGTCGAAATCTCCGCGCGATGCAGAGACAACGGCCGGGATCGGTGGACAGCCGGAAGAGCAGCCGAAGGACTGGCCCGGGCTAATCAGATCTATGAATAGCTTTGGGCCCCTCCCTAGGCTGCTGGCAATCGCGGGACAACTCGATGCCATAATAGAGTTCACGAGTGCGAAGAGCAACATCGCGAAGGACCTAAAGCAGGCCTTGCGACAGCTCCGTGCAACCGTGAACGAGGCCCAGGACGACCACGAGCGGCTCAGGAAGCGACTAGAGGTCGCAGAGAGGGCGGAACAGAAGGAACCGAAGTCTACCCAGACGGACGCCTTCAACTTCGCGGGCAACAATACGATGTCCAGCGAGGCCCTCCACTTTGCCGTTACGCAGGGACAGAAGCGAAATCGGCCCTCACCTTCGCCAGTAAAGGGCGCAGCACGCCCTAAGAGACGGAAAGTCTCTGTGCAGGTGGAGAGTGCGGCGGTTGCCCATCAGTCCAATGCTTCAGTGGACGTACCGAAGAAGAGGGCTGGAATAGCCAATAGAAATACTGAGAAACCTAGCGGCTCCAAGGGCGGGAAGCAGGACAAAACTGCCCCCAAGAGCAGTGCTGCCCGGACCAGGAACAAGGGCGAAGCTCTCATCTTCAAGACGGACGCGTCGAAATACGCGGAAGTCTTGAAGAAAATGAGAACGGACGAGCGCCTTGTGGAGATGGGCAGTAACGTGAGGAGCATCAGGCGCACTCGTACAGGCGAGATGCTCCTGGTGCTCAAACGTGGTGCTAAGGACCAGGGACCAACCTACCAGAAACTGGCAAAGGAGGTTGTTGGTTCTGGGGTGCAGGTGAAGTCGCTAGGCTCGACTATCACCATCCAGGTCAAGGACCTGGACGAAGTGACGGAGGCGACCGAGATAGTCACGGCGCTCCGGGAACAGTGCCAAGTCGAGGTACCGCAATCAGCGATTACCTTGAGGAAGGGACTGTTCTCCACCCAAGTGGCTACCATCAGGCTCTCTGCAGCTGAGGCCAGAAAGGCGGTAGCCGCAGGGAGGGTGCGAGTGGGCTGGTCCGTCTGCCCCGTCAGTATTCCCCGACCGGTGACGGCTTGCTTTAGGTGCTTCGGTCAGGGCCATGTGGCCCGTGACTGTAAGAACACCGACAGGAGCAAGCTTTGCAGATGGTGCGGCTTGGAGGGCCATAAGGCGCGAGGTTGCCAAAAGCCACCGAGGTGCACTATATGCGCGGAGAAGGGGAATACCCCTACCAACCACATGGCAGGTGGCCCCCGCTGCCCGGGGTCCAAGAGCAATGCTGCTAAGGCAAAGAGCAATGCTCAGCCATGTTCGAGGTAGCGCAGTTGAACCTGAACCACTGTTCGGCTGCCCAGCAACTGCTGTGGCAATCGGCAGTGGAATGGGGAGCGGATGTCGCAATCATCTCTGACCCGTACCGCGTCCCAACCGGCAACGGGAATTGGGTCACGGACGCGTTTGGGATGGCGGCGATATGCACGATGGGGAGCTTCCCCATTCAGGAGGTAGTCGTGTCCAACTCGAGCGAGGGATTCGTGATCGCCAGGGTTAACGGAGTATACTTAAGTAGCTGCTATGCTCCGCCCAGGTGGTCTATCGAGCAATTCTCGCAGATGGTGGACAGACTGACTGCGGTACTTGTCGGCCTAAGACCGGTGGTCATTGCGGGCGACTTTAACGCATGGGCGGTAGAGTGGGGTAGCCACCACACCAACCAGAGAGGATGCATCCTACTGGAGGCAATGGCCAAGCTGGACGTTGTACTATCCAACACCGGCTCGGTCAGTACCTACAGAAGGAATGGTGCAGAATCCGTCATCGACGTGACATACTGCAGCCCGAGTTTGGAGGGCAACCTACACTGGAGGGTCGATGAGGGTTACACTCATAGTGACCATCAGGCGATTCGGTACAGTGTGGGGCCAGGTGAGAGGCGAGTGGCAGGAGGAAATTCTTCCTGCGCTCGAGGCTGGCGGACGTCGTTCTTCGAGGAGGAGGTCTTCGGCGAAGCACTGAGGCGGGAGCGAATAACCCCGGATCTGACGGGGGAAGAACTGGTAGCAGCACTGACAAGGGCGTGCGATACAACCATGCCTAGGAGAGCCTATCCCAGGCATGGCCACAGACCGGTGTACTGGTGGAGCGAGTCGATTGCTATCCTCAGGGCGTCTTGCCTCCAGGCGAGAAGGAGGATGCAACGAGCTCGTACGACTGAATCTCGCGAGGAACGCCGCGTCGCTCTCCGAGCGGCTAAGGCAGCCCTCAATAAAGAGATCGCCAGACGCAAGCGCGCGTACTTTGACAGACTATGCCAAAGCGCCAACACGAACCCATGGGGGGATGCTTACAACGTGGTCATGGCAAAGACCCGCGGCGTGACGGCACCCCCGGAGAGATCACCAGCGGTACTGGCTCCGATCGTTGGGTTCCTGTTCCCGCGTAGGGACGTAGACTCCTGGCCGCGGATCCCAGGTGCGGATCAGGGAGAAGTGTCTAGAGTGACGAACAGTGAACTTGGCGGTATTGCCAGGTCGTTGGTGGTGGGCAAGGCCCCGGGCCCAGATGGGATCCCGGTTGTGGCTCTGAGGGCGGCCGTTGCGGAAAATCCAGACATGTTCCGTTCTGTTTTTCAGACTTGTCTGGACGTAGGTGTCTTCCCAGACGCGTGGAAGCGGCAGAAGCTGGTGCTGCTTCCGAAGCCAGGAAAACCCCCTGGGGACCCGTCAGCATACAGACCCATCTGTTTGCTGGACACCACTGGGAAACTGCTTGAGAGGGTCATCCTCAACAGGCTGTCGGCCTACACCGAAGGTGTAGACGGCCTGTCAAGCAGCCAGTACGGGTTCCGAAAGGGCAGATCCACGGTGGACGCCATCCGCGACGTCATCCAGACGGCAGAGGTGGTCCATCGGAAACGAAGGGGCATTCGCTACTGCGCGGTGCTAACCTTAGACGTGAAGAACGCGTTCAACAGCGCGTGCTGGGGGGCGATAGCCCGCTCGCTACACCAGCTCCAAATTCCCGGAGGGCTGTATAAGATTCTGGAAAGCTACTTCCAGAATCGTGTGTTGACGTACGACACAGAAGATGGCGAAAAATGCGTTAGAGTCACCGCAGGTGTGCCACAAGGCTCCATCCTGGGCCCGGTGTTATGGAACGTCATGTACGATGGACTGTTGAGGATAAAATTCCCGGTAGGCGTGAAAATTGTAGGTTTTGCCGACGATGTCACGCTGGTAGTCTGCGGGGAATCCCTCGAGGAGGTAGAGCTGACAGCGGCCCACTGCGTCAGGCTTGTGGAGGAATGGATGAGAACCAGGAAACTGGAGCTCGCCCATCACAAGACGGAAGTGGTCGTAGTCAACAATCGCATGTCAGTACAGCATGCAACGTTGACAGTCGGCGGAAGCACAATTAGGTCTGTGCGCTCTCTAAAACTCTTGGGGGTCATGCTCGACGATAAGCTCAGCTTCGGCTGCCACGTCAAGTACGCCTGCAAGAGAGCGTCTATGGCTGTGGGGGCATTATCCCGTATGATGTCAAACAGCTCGGCAGTGAATGCCAGTAAGCGCAGGCTCCTCGCTGGGGTCGTAGTATCTATCCTCAGATACGGCGGCCCTGCGTGGGCTGCGGTACTGGATATTGACTGCCACAGGCAGAAATTAGAGAGTACACACAGGCTAATGTGCTTAAGGGTGGCCAGTGCATACCGCACTATCTCGAGAGAGGCCGTCTGTGTCATAGCAGGGATGATGCCAATCAGCCTTATCATTAAGGAGGATGTGGCGTGTTATGACGCGAGGACCGTTCGAGGGGTGCGCAACAACGCGCGAGTTGTGTCGACCGCGAGATGGCAATTGGAGTGGGAAAACTCCACAAAGGGGAGGTGGACTTACCGCTTGATACCTTCCGTATCAAGCTGGGTCAACAGGCGCCATGGGGAAGTAAACTTCCACCTGACACAGTTCCTGTCAGGCCATGGCTGCTTTAGGAGCTACCTGCATAGGTTCGGACATGCAAGTACTCCCACCTGCCCCACATGTGCTGGTGTCGAGGAGACCGCCGAACACGTCGAACAGTATCGAGCGCTATGCTAGCGATATGCTAGCGATATGCGGAGCGGATACCAGTCCGGACAACATCGTTCATAGGATGTGTGGTACCACCGAGAACTGGAGCGCGGTGGTGACTGCGGTCACCCACATAGTTTCGGTATTACAACGACAGTGGCGAGCCGAGCAGCAGTTACCTACTGCCCGACCAGATCGTTAGAGTATTGCTAGAGAGGCGCCATAG